AGGAGGAAGAGGAGGAGGAGGAGGCGGAGAAGGAGCAGGAGGAGGAAGAGGTGGTGGGTGAGCAGGAGGATAGACAGAAAAATCACGGCTGTGAAACACCAACAAACAATCGGACTGCGAACCAAAACACATAAAAAACACCATAGCTGCCCAATCCTGTGCGTAAGTAGCAATACGCGGAGAGGGCGGAGCATCCTCCAGACGGAGTCAGGGGAAGGACGATCGTAATCAGATTGAGTAATTGTCACGAGAGGGAGGTGGGGGAGAGGGAGGGAAGAGGAGGGAGAAGCAATGGAGCGAAAAGAAGGGAAGAGGATGGAGAGAAGGAGGGACTAGGAGAGAGGGGGGGAAGTGGGAGGAACAGGTGGGAAGAATATGCTGAGAATGCCTCGTCAACCTCTTCCTCCTCGCCCTCCTCCTCTTCCTCCTCATCCTCCTTTCCTCCTCCTCCTCCTCGTCATTATTTAGCCATCGTCTTCCTTCTCCCCGCTTGGGGGAGGGAGCTTTGGTTGGAATGCGATCTCAGCCACACGTGTCGAACCTCGACGCGTGTCGGGCCCTGGGCCCTTCTTCCTCTGACATTCCTGAGAACGCGCGCTGACCACGACGTGCTTCTGCCCACCGACGCCACTCAACGCCACGCAGGCGACGCGCAGCGAAGGGCGACGCGTGCTGCGCGCGATCGGCGAGGCGCATCAGCATAAAAAAAGCACACACACACACACATCGGGCCAAGATGCGTCCTGAGGATCACCGATCCCTGACCGACAGCACACACACATCGGGCCAAGGTGCGTCCTGAGGATCGCCGATCCCCGACCGACAGCAGGCCGCTGCGGATGCGACGCTCCCCGGAAAAGAATCCGCCGGTGCGCTTGCTGCAATGCGCGGCCCCGGAGGTCCCGGGGCCTCCGCGCTGTTCATCCCGGGGCCCGAAAGCAGCCCCCCAGACACCGAATCCTGGAGCAAACCCCAGCACTGCAAAACTCGTACAGTCGGCCTTGATTGGACATGGGACACGCGACGAGGACAGAAGACCCTTCTGGGGGCCACGTTGCCGCGGAAATGCAGGAGGCATGGGTCGCGAGACACAGGACACGAGGGTACCCTAAGGGTACCCTCGTGTCCTACTAATCCGGCTGGCAGGGTCGACCTACTAATCCGGGCAGGGGTCGACCAAGTCCCCTGGGAAGGGGTCGACCAAGACCTACTACTAAGGCGGGGGGGACGAGGGTCGGTACCAAGGGCCTTGCTCTGGCAGGGTCGACCTACTAATCCGGGCCGCCTGTATCGCCAGAAGTCTGGGCTTCACCCTGAAAGCGCACTCGCAGCGCAGCGAGCGACGGCCGACTGCGGCCGATCCTGGCTGCGCCACGGCCTGCACGATCCCCACGCACACGTCGAAGAGCTGCGGGTTCACGTCCACGCGCCCGCCCGCCCTGTCGAAGCGGTCCATCCTGACCTGGACTGAAGGGATTGGGCGTCGAGCAGTGGGGGTGCGAGAAATAGGGGTGGGAAGAAAGGTGCACCTCTTGTGCCCGAAAGGGACCCTAAAGGGGCCTCCTGGGGCTTCAAAAGGACACGAAAGGTGCACGTTTCCCCCCCTCCCCCCCCTCCTTAACGCTCCCCATTAGTTAAAGCCCAAGGGGGGACGACAAGGCGGGGGCTGGGGGGGCGCCGCCACACACCCAACGGATCACAATCTCCCTCCCTACTTCCCTCTCCTCCCTGTCGCTCGCTCACTCCCTCCCTCCCGCTCCCTCCCTCCTGCTCCTCTGACGCGACGTAGCCCCGAACTGGCCCGACTGCAACCCTCCTCCTTCCTCATCCTCTTCCCTTCCTCCTCCTCCTCTTGCTCCTCCTCCTCCTCCCCCTCCTGAGGGGGAACGTTAGAGGGGACCAAGGCAAGCATCGAGCTAGACTCGGTTATGCATCGCTGATAAATCAGCGATAGAGCAACGATAGCGAGTCCGCACGTTTCTGGGCGGGGTGGAATATCGGGCCAGTATCGACGATGAGTGGGCGACTGGGGGTTGTCCCTGGAGGCCCAACGGAGCGGCGCGCGGGAAATGTCTGCTCGCGGCTGGCGATGGCATCCATAATCAGATGGACATTGCGCAGACCGTCGTCGTGCTACCACAAGGAACGCTGGATGAGCAGCGACAGGGCTTCCCTGGCCACTTCTAGCCTAGGTTCCTTCGACATGGATCTGCGGAACGGCCCCCAAAAAAAAATCACACTCACGCGCCCAGTGGTCATGATTGCATCATTCACTCTACGTGCGGTTTCTCCCCGAGTTCAACAGCGTGGAGCTGGCCAAAAACAGCACCGGCCTCGCCACGACTTCTCCTGGGACGTCCGAGAGGGAGGTGCTCGAGAGGGGGGGGCCTCGCAGATCGTGGCCGAGGCGGTGCACGAGGACCCTGACCTTCCAGAGAGCTATTGTTTAGCACGGGAGGCCTGAAAATCTAAAAAAGGAAACGAAACTGCCCAAAACCAAGACATAGAATAGCTCTGGGATAGGTTTTCAAGTCGCGTGCTAATTTTTGTTGCCCCCCTGGAAGGTCGGGGGACGAGGGGGGCCAGGGGACGCATCGAAACAGAGGAAGGGGGCCATGAGATGTGAGGAGACGTCATGGCCCCGCCATGTGATTCTTGTTTGTGTGGGGGGGGGGGGGGCGCCCCGCCGCACCGCGCAGGGTCCGAGTGTGCACCCTCGTGCTCCTCAGAAAACGAGCTACTCTCGGTCGTGGCCCCCGCCGTGATATCTCCAGGGGGCCAAGGACACGCAGATAAATGCACACAAATAGAAGGAGTCCCCATATCTTCCCGCATGTTCTGGGGTTCTGTCTTCCCCCCCTCTTCCCATCTGTTCTCATATTTTCAAGGGAATCGACGATGAGTTGTTGTTCGCCTCCTGAATACCCAGACCCCCGACGTCATGATTTTTCACAACGTCGACCCCCAGAGGTCTAGACCCCTTCCCCAGGACCGGTTTTTCATCCTGAGTCATGTTGTTGACGGTCCCGAGGCCCGGTGAGGGACCCTGGAGGCAGATTTTTGTTTTGATTTTTGTTCTATATATATATATATCAATCAATCAAGCTCTGAGGGGCAGTGTTCCACAAGTCAGCACCTGAAAAAAAAAGGTGTGTTGGTCACTCTGGCCAGCACTCCTTGCCTGGGTTCAAGTTTGCTGGCTTTCTAACCTTACCCTGAGGGGCCTACGTTCAGGAGTCAGCCGCATATGCTGGGGGGGGGGGGGCCACGGGCAGTCTGCAGCGCCCTGTGGTGGGGGACTTAGGGGCTGCCCTGCACCACGAGGGCAATAAGGAGCCTCTGAACGTATATAGGGTCTGGGTAGCCCGCGTCATCACTTCCGCCGGCTGGCCGCCCCCGCGTCATTCTCCACGAGGCACGGCGCGCCCGCGGGTCCCCGGCGCGGGGCTCGAGAGGCAGGCAGGGAGGGAGGGAGGGAGGAGGGAGGGAGGGAGGGAGGAGGGAGGAGGGAGGGAGGGAGGGAGGGAGGGAGGGAGGGAGGCAGGGAGGGAGGCAGGGAGGGAGGCAGGGAGAGAGGGAGGGAGGGAGGGAGGCAGGGAGGGAGGCAGGGAGGGAGGGAGGGAGGGAGGCAGGGAGGGAGGGAGAGGGAGGGAGGGAGGGAGGGAGGGGCGGCGGAGCCAGACCCGTCGCGCGCACCGTGAGAGGAGCACCCTGCGACCCGCGAGCCTCCACGCGGTCGCTCGGCGTGAGACAAGCAGGGGGCCAGATGCGAACCCTAATGTGGGATGGCGATTAAGAAAAAAAGGAGGGGGGAACGATTAAAAAAAAAGTTTCCCACACCGGGGGGGACCGCTCAGAAGCAGGGCTCGCCTGTGCGGTGTTTCGTCACCAGGGGGCGCGCGCGCCCGAGGACGGCGGGGGTGGGGGGGGGGACGATAAAAAAAATAATTTCCCAGCCCGGGGCCGGTTTTTTCTAATCATCATCCCGGGCGCCGCCGCGTGAACACGACCCCCGGTCATTTTTTAGTCATCATCCTCCATTACCCCTACCCCCCACGATTTCTGAGGGGGGTTAGGGGTAGGGTTCGCATCTGGCCCCCTAGCGGGGAACGCGGCGCGTGGCCGAGCGAGAGGCCGCGCCCGAAGCAGGGAGCCTACGGCATGCCGGGGAGCGTCCTGCGGAACACGACCGTCGGCAAGACACGAGGCACGAAGAGCTGGGAAGCGGCTCTCCCGGCGGGTCTTCGCGGAAAACGACTGCGGACTCCTAAGCTCGGCGGATACAGCGCGAATAAGCCCCATGTTTAGGAAGGCACCGACTATACACCAACACCGATCCTGGCCAGGATCACCCTGGGCCCAGGATGGGTGTATACGCCCTCCTGCCTTGGGCAAGAAGGCATATACACCGATCCTGGGCCCAGGGTGATCCTGGGCCAGGATCGGTGTTGATGTATAGTTGGTGCCCTCCGAATGTTAAGCGGGACCAAACTGGATTAAGCGGGGCCAAGCTGAATTCAATAGGGGTATACCAGATTCGGCCAGCTGTCGACCACGGAGATACGTGCGCCGATGCTGGATTCAAACTGAACTCCCAAGAGTTGCATCCCAAAAGAGGCAAGAGAGGCAAGGGACACAAAGAAGGACGGGGCATAGGGGGAAGAGCAAAAGGAGTGAATTCATGTTTGCTACCGTTTTCTTCTCTCAGAAACACTTCCCAACCATCCTGTGAGTTCACGTGCTCTTTCTGAAGAGATAGCACCGTCACCTCACCTCACCTCCCGCCCCCCTCCGCCTGGACCTCTCCCGCCCCTCTTCCACAGCCCTCAGCTCCGCCCACGGCCCCCCTTTCCCCCGCGCCTCCCCCTCCTGGAAGCCCACTCTGGTGGAACCGAAAGTCCTCCTCCTCCTCCTCCTCCTCCTCCTCCTCCTCCTCCGCCGTCCATCGCACCGGCTGCGGGGAGCAAGACCCGATCCGACCCCCCCGCCCTGCGCACCCCTCAAAAAGGCCCCTCCCCCTCGGAAGCGAGAGCAGATTCTGGCACTTCCTGCGAAGTGAACACGGCGGACGCCCTGCAGCGTGCGCAGGCACCCGCCAGACAGCGCGTGCCAGATCCTCGCCGTGCCGTCATAGGAGGCGGTCAGCACCTCCAGCCCGTCCGGCGAGAACACGGCGGACATCACGATACCGTCGTGGCCTTCATCCAGCGTGCGCAGGCACTGGCCAGACTCCGCGTGCCAGATCCTCGCCGTGCCGTCATGGGAGGCGGTCAGCACCTCCAGCCCGTCCGGCGAGAACACGGCGGACTCCACCCAACCGTGGTGGCCCTCCAGCGTGCGCAGGCACTGGCCAGACTCCGCGTGCCAGATCCTCGCCGTGCCGTCATAGGAGGCGGTCAGCACCTCCAGCCCGTCCAGCGAGAACACGGCGGAATGCACCGAATCGCGGTGGCCCTCCAGCGCACGCAGGCACTGGCCAGACTCCGCGTGCCAGATCCTCGCCGTGCCGTCATAGGAGGCGGTCAGCACCTCCAGCCCGTCCGGCGAGAACACGGCGGACTCCACCGAACCGTTGTGGCCCTCGAGCGTGCGCAGGTACTGACCAGACTCCGCGTGCCAGATCCTCGCCGTGCCGTCTGTGGAGGCGGTCAGCACCTCCAGCCCGTCCGGCGAGAACACGGCGGACACCACGGAATCCAGACTCAGATCCTCGCCGTGCCGTCTCTAGACGCGGTCAGCACCTGCAGCGCGGGAGTCACCACCAACGTAAGCTCGCTGCCGCCAGTGGCACCGATCTCGGCCAAGGTCGCGCCGCCGCGAAGCTCCGTCTCCCCGAGGAACACCCGCCTCCGGCTGCCCGGCGCGCCACCCTGCGCGGGCGTCCCCGCGAGCACGTCCCGCAGCCGCCACGACGGGCTGGCGTCCAGGGCCGCCAGCTCTCGCCGGCCACGCGCAGGAGGCGACCCCGGGCCAGATGTGGCCTCTGGTGGGCGGCCTGCCGATCGCTGCGTGCGAGGCGACCGCGGCGGCCCGCGTGCCTGGGCCCCCCCCGGAGACCGCGCGCGTGCACGAGGGCCACTCCGGCGAGGGGCCGCCCCTTGGCGCGCGGCGACCCGGGGGGGCCGGGGGGGGGGGTGCAAGAGAGCGCCGAGGCCTGCAGAGCGGCCCTGGCCGGCCGACACGGCTGCGCAGGAGAAGGCGGGAGAGGAAGGGCGCGGGGGGAGACAAGGGGCGCGGGAGAAGCAGGCGAAAGGACGAAAGGAGACGGAGAGAGGAGAGGAGGGAGGAGAGAGGAGGAAGGAGGGAGAACAGAAATAATAATCATGATAACAAGAAGCAGAGGAGGATGAAGAAGAAGAAGAAGAAGAAGAAGAAGAAGAAGAAGAAGTGGCGAGGAGGGGGAGAGCGGGGAGAGAGGAGGGGCGGGGAGAGAGGACGAGGCGCGGGGATGTCGCCCAGGGCCCACCAGCTTGGAGGGCCCGAGGGCCCGCGCGAAGGGCAGTCTGTGCATGCGGCGGGCCAGCGCTGGGAGCGCAGTGCCCGCGGGGGGGGGCCTCGGGGCCGAGCTGCTCAGGGGCCGCGGAGCGGCGTCAGCGGAGAAGGGGCGCACCCCCACCATCACGGGCAGGACCAGAGGGAGCGAAGCGGAGCGAACGGCAAGCCCCTGCGCTGCGCGGCGGGCCGCTCCCTCGAGGTCGGTGCGTCTGCCCACGGGCGATCTCGGAGCCACCTCCCCCCCGCGCCCCCGTCGACGGCGCTGCCGGCAGAGGCCATGGGAGGAGCAAGAGGGGGCACGGCAGGGGGCGGTGCGAGCTGCTGAGCGACGGGCCCCCACGCGCCAGCGGCGCGCCGCATCTGTCAGTGGCGTCCACCGATCAGCCGCAAGCACATGCCACGACATGCTGGTGTGCGCGTGCCTTTCCCTTGCCCGCTGCTTCTGGTAAGACATGGCCCCACACCTGCACGACACACAGCAACAGCACGTGTCACCCCAACTCCGAAGGAAGGAGGAAGGAGGAAGGAATGGATCCGGGAGGAAGGGAGCAGGAGGAGGAAGAGCACACACACACAGACACACGCGCTCGTGTCCCCCCCTTCCTGAAAGGCCTACTCTGTCGAGATATCCCACGCTCTTCTTGGCGGTTCCCTCTTCCGAGCTCATGCTTGTCCAGGCTCGGGCCCCTCCTCGTGCTGCTTCAGCTGATGCTGCTCACCGCCTCCACCTCCCTTGACCCTGCCCCTCGAATTACCCCCCATGTCCACATTGCTCAGCTCCTCCTCGCCCATGCCCCCCCCAATTCCCGTCGCCTCACCCCTCCGGAAGCCCACTCTGATACACCAGAGCCCCGTCGCGCAGATCAGCCCGTCGCGACGACTGCGGGGAGCAATGCACAATCTGACTCGGGCTGAAAAACGACTGCGCTCGCCCGTCCCGCCCACCCCCCCGTCCGCCTCAATGAATGTATGGCATGCCTCACCACCCCCTCCCCCTCGGAAGCGAGAGCAAAGTCTGGCAGTTACTGCGGCGAGAACACGGCGGACTCCACGCTATCGTCGTGGCCCTCCAGCGTGCGCAGGCACTGGCCAGACTCCGCGTGCCAGATCCTCGCCGTGCCGTCTTCGGAGGCGGTCAGCACCTCCAGCCCGTCCGGCGAGAACACGGCGGACCACAGGCAATCGCCGTGGCCCTCCAGCGTGCGCAGGCACTGGCCAGACTCCGCGTGCCAGATCCTCGCCGTGCCGTCATTGGAGGCGGTCAGCACCTCCAGCCCGTCCGGCGAGAACACGGCGGACTCCACCGAACCGTTGTGGCCCTCCAGCGTGCGCAGGCACTGGCCAGACTCCGCGTGCCAGATCCTCGCCGTGCCGTCTCTAGACGCGGTCAGCACCTCCAGCCCGTCCGGCGAGAACACGGCGGACCACAGGCGATCGTCGTGGCCCTCCAGCGTGCGCAGGCACTGGCCAGACTCCGCGTGCCAGATCCTCGCCGTGTCGTCTGCGGAGGCGGTCAGCACCTCCAGCCCGTCCGGCGAGAACACGGCGGACTCCACCCGACCGTGGTGGCCCTCCAGCGTGCGCAGGCACTGGCCAGACTCCGCGTGCCAGATCCTCGCCGTGCCGTCATGGGAGGCGGTCAGCACCTCCAGCCCGTCTGGCGAGAACACGGCGGACATCACCCAATCGTCGTGGCCCTCCAGCGTGCGCAGGCACTGGCCAGACTCCGCGTGCCAGATCCTCGCCGTGTCGTCTGCGGAGGCGGTCAGCACCTCCAGCCCGTCCGGCGAGAACACGGCGGACTCCACCCGACCGTGGTGGCCCTCCAGCGTGCGCAGGCACTGGCCAGACTCCGCGTGCCAGATCCTCGCCGTGCCGTCATCGGAGGCGGTCAGCACATGCAGCGCGGGAGTCACCACCAACGTAAGCTCGCTGCCGCCCCTGGCACCGATCTCGGCCAAGGTCGCGCCGCCGCGAAGCTCCGTCTCCCCGAGGAACACCCGCCTCCGGCTGCCCGGCGCGCCACCCTGCGCGGGCGTCCCCGCGAGCACGTCCCGCAGCCGCCACGACGGGCTGGCGTCCAGGGCCGCCAGCTCTCGCCGGCCACGCGCAGGAGGTGACCCCGGGCCAGATGTGGCCTCTGGTGTGCGGCCTGCCGATCGCTGCATGCGAGGCGACCGCGGCGGCCCGCGTGCCTGGGCCCCCCCCTTGGAGACCGCGCACGTGCACGAGGCCACTCCGGCGAGGGGCCGCCCCTTGGCGCGGCCGCTCTCGCCCGGCGCAGGTGACCACGGACACTCGCATGCCCGGGCCGAGCGCCCGCGGACGGGGGCGACCCGTGGGCGCCGAGGGGGGGAGGCAGGAAAACGCCGAGGCCTGCAGAGCGGCCCTGGCCGGCCGACGCGGCAGGGAGTGGGGAAGATGATCCGACCCTGAAATACTGATACGTGCAGATCATTTCGTGATGGCGCTTCCCGCTGCGAGCGCGTGGGTGGGAGAGTGACAGCCTGTGGCGACTGGGCGTTCCCTGGCGGCTTTCCACGGGCAGCAACATCACCATAAGCATCATCACCACCATCACAACCACAACCATCATCATCACCATCATCACCACCACCACATCCATCAGCATCATCATCATCATCACCATCATCATCATCAGCATCGTCATCAGCATCACCATCACAATCACCATCAGCAACATCACCATCATTATCACCAACATCACCACCACCACCACCACCATCATCACCACCATCACCACCACAACCGTCAACATCAGCATTATCATCACAATCACCATCAACATTCCCATCACCACCGCCACCATCATCAAAGCCGTCATAGTCGTGATCATCACCATCATCCTCATCATCCGAATCCTCCTCATCATCCCCATTCTCATCGTAGCCATCACCATCACCATCACCATGACCAACAATCATCCGACCCCTCATGATCAGAATCATAGTCGTCATCATCTTTACCATGTTCGTCATCATCATCGCAATCATCATCAGCGTCATCACGTCATCATCGTCATCATCACCACCATCAACATCCGCATCACCACCATCCGTCGCCATGCCCATCTCAGCATCAACACGAGCATCACCACCTCGATTCTCGAATCTCGATCCTCGCCCCTCACTCCTTCATTGGAGGAACACAGGCCAGCGCACGCATACACTGTCGGCTCTCATCATGGATGTTTTGGATCCGCGCTCGGGCGCCCCCTGGCGGCACCCCTGGCGCCGCCACTGGCGCGCCCCGCGCGCCGGGGAGGGGGGTCCAGCGCGGATCCAAGAACTCCGCGCGGAGCTCCGAAAATGCACGTTTACGCAGATTTGAAATCGATCCACGCTGCTCGATTCTAGTGAAACCTGGAAGCGACAGGGCACTCTTGTTTTTTCGGATCGCGCTCGGCCGCTGCATAGCCGGTGCTGACTGACATCTTTTTTTCTCGGATCAGTTGCCGTCTTTGTTCCAGTTCCCGCGCAAATTTCGAACAATGGTTCCTTCGCTTCCGGCGGTAATTGTTGGGCTCGAGCGTGATAGGGGGCCCCCTGCAGAATGGCAATCTCGAAAGCATGATGAACGAGCGATGAACGATGGCTGAATTTCCACCGGCGACCACACATCTCGCAGAGGCGTGTAGGGCGGGCGCCACGCAACGCATTGAAACATAGGCGCGACAGCGCCTGGGCGATGCCGCTGGCCAGAGCACCGCGGCCCAGGCGCGCGCGCGATGGCGAACGAGCGGAACGGAACGAAGAAGGCGCGGCCGTGATCGAGCGGCTGGGTGGCCGCCAGCATAGGGCCAATACCACTCGGCGAGCAGGTCGCGCCACTCCTGCCGATCGGAGCGGCATGGCATCCGCCCGCCGCGCACACGGCGGACCCAACACTTCGCCGCGCGCCGCGCGGACTCAATCCCGCTAGTGGCGAAGCCGCGCGTGTTCTTGATCTCGCCCGCGGAGTGGAGCATTTGCCTTCCAGGAGTCTCGTCCCCTCGCGCATGCCAAGCAAGTGGAGATCGGTCAACATCTCCTTGTGCCCGCGGGGCTTTCCACCGAAAGCGTCGTTCGGGTGGTCCAGAATGCGGAAAAAACCATAACTCGGGGCGACCCTGCCAGGCCCAGTATTTGCCAGGGCGGGCTGCCCTCTCGAGAGCGCCAGGTAGCTTCTCGTCAAAGTGCGCCTCGTCCACCTGCGCCCCGATCTTAAATTCTGACCCTTCTTCATCTGCGCTGCCGCCTTCGCGGCAATGTTGCCCGCCTTCTTGGCGAGCGAGCTCTCGCCGCGGACCTCGGCCATGGCCGCGCCCATCAGCTTCTTGATCGTTTTCGGCCAGAGACCAGATTCAGACGCGATGCCGCTGAGCGCCTTCACCGCCTTTCTTTTGAAGGGCGACCCCCGGCGGTCAACCGTCTTGCAGGTCGCACCCAACTCTCGCTGCATCGGCAGCCGAATGAAATAAGTGGCCCGCATTGCCACGACGTCAAAGAACTTCTCCCATGACGACTCCTGGACGCCTGGAAGAACCGAGCCAACTGTCATAGACTTCTGGCCCTTTGGCTTGCACGACGAGCACCCGGAGTCAAGTTCGCAACAGCGCCACGCCTGCTGCGCAGCTGTTCCTTCGCCTTCGCGAGCGCCTCCTGCGCCGCGGCCGTCTTCGCCCCCGCTCCCTCGCGCCGCTGCGTCTCCTCAGGAGGAGAAAGGCGCGCGGCTTGTTTTGCGGCGCGGACTTGCGATTGAGTTAATGTAACGAGCGAGGAATGACTGCGGCGGTCCTGTAGGTAGCCCAAATGCAATGGATCGGTCTTTGTCCAAGCCCGTTTCGTCTCGCTCTTCTAGGCCTTCGCCTCGCCCTGCGATCCCCAGGCGTTCCGCATGCGTTTGTTGGAACGTCGCCTGTGGACGCGCCACGAAAGATAGGCGCTACCTCGTGCCACGCAGAAGCGGCGCCACGCGCAAACACCAAATAACACGTGGCGATATACTCTGTTTCTGAATCGCGTCGCTTTTGGGTGGCAATAACTGGATGTCGGGTTGTAGTGTGGTGGTTGTACGTTACACAAAGGTCCGCATGTCGGCTCTTTCTTGCTGTGGTCGTCCGTCGCCGAGCGGACCGCAGCGCGGACCTTGTCAGATGCCGCGCGGTGAAACGTCGCCACCAGCTGCTTTACCCGTGGTGGCTGTAGGAAAACTTGAAGCCGTTGTTTGGCTTGACATTTTCGGTTTGCTGTGAGTTTGTTCAGTCGTACTGCTCGGTGTCACTGTCCTGTCTGCCCATGGCTCCAAGCAGTGGCGTTTTAGCGGTGCTGTGAGTGCTGTGAGCCTAAAAGCCTTTGCCCACTACACCCTCCCATCCTCCTCTCATTTGCCTGCCTCCCTCCCTCATTGGAACGCAGTGCGATGGCAACGCAATGCGATCACAATGCAACGAGATTGCAATGCGATGCAATGCGGAGGAGGGAGGGAGGAATGAGGAGGGAGGGGGAAGGATGATAGGAGGGGGACGGAAGGGAGGCGGAGGAAAAACGATGTACCCCAACTGTGCAGCCCCCTCCTCCTCCTCTTCTTCTGCGTCTTCTTCGTCTTATTAGTCTTAGCATTAGTATTCGTATTATTATTAGTATTGTTATTATTAGTATTATTATGGGTATTATTAGTATTAGTTTCATTAGTAGTCTTATTATTATTATTATTACTATTATCATTCGTCTTATTATCATTCGTCGCCGTAGTATTATTATTCTTATTATTAGTATTATTAGTATTTGTCTTTTTTTACTATTACTATTATCATTATTCGTATTATTATTATGGATCGTATTATTACTTCGTAGTATTGTTATTATTATTGTTATTAGTGATACTATTCTTATTATTATGATTCCTCCTCGTCCTCCTCCTCCTCACCTGCCTCCTCCTCCTCCTCCTCCTCCTCTTCCTCCTCCTCCTCCTCCTCCTCCTCCTCCTCCTCTTTCTCCTCCTCCTCCTCCTCGTCCTCCCCCTCCTCCTCCTCCTCCTCCTCCTCCTCCTCCGTCTCCGTCTCCTCCTCCTCCTCCTCCTCTTCCTCCTCCTCCGCCTCCTCCTCCTCCTCCTGCTCTTCCTCTTCCCCCTCTTCCTCCTCCTCATCCTCATCCTCCTCCTCCTCCTTCTCCCCCTCCTCCTCCTCCTCCTCCTCCTCCTCCTCCTCCTAAGGCCACAGTGGCAGCAATCCATATTCCTGAGCGAGCTGATGGCCGTGCTCCGCGTGCTGGAGGTGGCTTGCCCGCCCATCATCATCGTCTCCGACTGCCAGTCGGTCATCGACGGGTTTCTGAGAGGGCCCTCGTGGGCGGCGCGCCCCGCCACGCCACACAGAGACGTGTGGGCGCGCTGCTGGGCCTTGATCGCTGAAAACGGTGGTCTGGGGCCGCGAGGGGTCAGTTTCGAGAAAGTAAAAGCCCATGCCACGAGAGCCCAACGAAACGAGATGGGCCTCGAGCTGTGGGAGGGAAACAAATTCGCCGATCAGTATGCCAAGCTAGGAGCTCGACTGCAGCAGCACCCTGAATGGCACGGAGCTGCATACATACAGCGATTCAAACTCGTCACGGATGTGCTTGAGTTCGCAGCCTACGTAGGAGTGTTAGGCAGAGGGCTCGTTGACACCTCCGAGGGCTCGAGTCCGGTTGAACGGGACTCGAACCCACCCAACCCCCCCGGACACCAGCCTGGTGGGGGTGAAGGGGGGGCCGTGGAGCCTCCCCACCTTCCGCCTCCCGGCGCCCCGCCCCACCGTGTTGGGTTGGGGGGAGACGGAGGTAGGATCGAACGAGCCCGCGCCCAGGGGCAAAGGCTAATATGCCTCCCCCGTGTGATCTTCTGTCGCCGATATGCCAGGTACGCTCAGGACAGATGGGTTGGTTTGCTGTCGAGCTGTGTCGAGGGAAACCCCCGAACAATGGCTGGACGTTTGGGCCGTCTGTGGGAAGGTCGACACCCCACCACAGGCAAGCCGTTTTGACCAAAGCCAAACTTTATCGCCCAGGGACGGCCGAGGTAGGGGAAGCTTTTAATCGTCGCCGTGGTGCGTGCCTCGCAGCTGCGGAGATCAGGCTAGCATAATCCAGCATAATCCTCCTCCTCCTCCTCCTC